TATGTGAATTTCCAGAAGAACAGCGAGTTATCACCCTCCCCTAGGAATACCCTGACTACAGAGCAGGCGACCCGTTTTTCCCCGCGTTAGATTGCGGTGACCACGAACCGTACGGAGGTCACAGGACGTCCGTGAAAAATAAAAAGGAGGCAAACAACGATCTCCTCTGTGCACGCTTCATCCCCGATTTCCACGACCCCAAGGCCGAAGGACGTTTGTGTGAAGGATAACGATAAAATAAAACTTCGCGTAAAAAAAAAAAAAAAGCCCGTTTTTAAAAGAAAAAAAAATTAGAAACAAGCACAACGCGTTGACGGACCGCGAGGTTGTGGAACACCTCGCGGTCCGCTTGCCACAGGACGGTTGTCTTCGACCCATAGCTCCAAGGCGAATTTGCCACTTGCGAAAACACGGAGACCTACCCAGCGAGAACCAGGAAAGCAAGACACGCACACTGACGCCTCGGCGTGCAGAATGAAACAGGACACGGGCGCGGAATACGGCCGCGGAAGAACACCTCGCACAGTGCCGATCCGGCCGATCTCCGAACGGACGATTTCGCATTTCGTGGACAGCGAGCGCCACCGTACGGGAGAAAGAGGTACCTTAAAAACGACAAAAACAAGCACCGACACCTTGGTTCTTTATATTTGCTGTAGTTATGGAACAAATCGACTTACATGAATAATTTGAATATTATTAGATTCCGTAATAAATTTAGAAGACATTAAGCGCAATACTTCTTATGTTTGAATTTAGATAATTTTGTAAATTCGCTCCGAACGCAAGAGTGCCGAATTAGCCGATTTTGACCATTTTCATGATTTTTTAAAGAATATAATTAAATTTATGATGAAACATTTGTTGCGCTTAGTGTCTCGATAATGACTCAATGTCTTTAAAGCCAAAATTTTCAAGAAGATCCGCCAGCCGTTATTAAGTGAGAATATTTTTAATTTGGTGAAAAACCTCATTTATTCTCTATGGGGCTCTGAGGTGCGCCCCCTCTTAAGGAAACATCGTTAAGTACGTAGTCACATAATAACACATGATTAGAATGTCGTGAAACTCTCATCGACTTGCATTTAGTAGTGTTAATTTTCATTAGCCAGGTACCACACCCAGATGAAATGTTAACTAAGTCAGACTGAAGGGCGGAACGATCATCAGGATTCAGAATTTGGCGATAAATAACCCAATCGTCAGCAAAAAGTTTGATAGATGAAGAAATGCAGTTAGGTGGGTCGTTGATATAAACAAGGAAAAGCAAGGGCCCAAGCACTGACTCCTGCGGGACACTGGAGGTTACGGGGCAGTGAGGGGAGTTATGCTCATTGGCAGTTACAAATTGCGTGCGATAAGACAAAGAAGCATTCTATTCATTTTAAAATATCAGGGTGAAAGTTAAGCTTACTTAGTTTATAGAGGAAGAGACCATGAGAGACAGTGTCGAATGCTTTAGAAATGTCGATGGAAATGCAGTGAACTGTTATTAAACAATAAAAAAAGAGAGTACGTCGTTAGTAAAGGCAAGTAGTTGTCTTACACAAGTAATTTTTCCTAAAGCCGTGTTGATGAATACTGAAAAAAAAGAATTAGTTTCAAGGAAAGACACAATGTGACAGTAAATGACATGCTCCATGAGTTTGCACGGTATGCTTCTTAGCGAAAGGGGTCTATAATTATTGGGAAAGTGGTGTTACCTGACTTGTTCAGAGGAACCACCTTCCCACCTGCCAGTCGTTCGAGAGCGTGCAGGATTTTAATGACTGTGCAAAAATCTTTGACAATATTATAGAAGAATACACTTGGGTGTTCTTCAAAAACTTGGCATTAACGCCGTCATCACCTGGAGAAGAGGCAGGCTTCATATTTTTTATTAATTTACATATGCCTGTCCAGTCAATAACCATTGGATCCATCGGCAAGAAATCACGAACCTGAATATCGGTAAGCACAGCCGGTGTAATGCTAATAAACGACAATGAGAATACAGAGCCTAAAACAACGCAGCAACTTTCCCTAGGAACAACCAGTTCGCTTTCAGCAGTAAGCTCAATTGGTTCCCTTTCATTTCCGTTCACCACGCACCAAAACTTGCGTACATTTGTTTTCAGTAGTTCTGGAGGGTTTGATTAGAAAACGTAATTTTGGCAAGGGACAGAGCACAAGCGTGCTCATCTTCTGCATGAGGATATGCTGTCCATCTATCTGGGATCATAGATAGCTTGGGCCGTTGGAAAAGACGCCTTTTCTTGTTCAGTGACCGTTTCAACGATGGCGTAAGCCAAGGCGACTGCGAGTTTCTAATTTTATGAAAGGGTATGTAACAATTAGTCAGCTCAGCTTTCGATTTAAACATGAGGCAATTCTCTTCCAGCGTTCGCTCAGAACATTTCAAAAGTTCGTTCAACAGGTGAAACATCTGCGTGAACTAGGCCAACTGCTCCGCACTTATAGGGCCAGGGTTAGATTCAGTGTCGCGACAAAAAAAGAGCGATTGAAAAAAAAAACAAAAAAAACAGACGGCGCTGCACAAGACTGAAATTGGTCTGGGCAGGGCAGCAGCAATAAAAACTGTCATCCGAACGGTAACAATAGTAATTGTCAATATTAAGATGTACATGAACGAAAAAGAGAAACAACTTGTCAGGAATTTCGGCCGCGCTGCTGCTAACCTACCCACTCATGAATGAATGGAATGGAGAAGTAAACAACAAGTTGCATACGGGGAAGCACTTACTGAAGGAATGGGAGAGTGCCCGGCATCGCGAACGCTTCTACGAGGTGGTTCTCTGCCTTCTAAGGATTGGCCATACGCGACTAACGCACGGGCATCTGCGTGGCGAAGACTTCCCGGAGTTTGAGCATTGCCGTAGCCATCTAACCATGCATCAAATTTTACTTGAACGTATGGCCCAGAACGCCGTATCAATTTTTCGCCGCTATACAAGGAGCATACCCGATTACATCTCATGATTTTACTTGGCAACGAACCTCTTATTCCACACTTTTGAGTTTTTTTAATTTCCTCAAAGCAATTGGCCTTCTACAACGGCTGGGATTCTATTTTAGGCCCCCAAATATTGCTCATATCTTTTACACTTACACACACCTCACGTTTATAGTTTTATCCTATCATATGCTACTAGAGCTCTTTCTTCTGCCTAACCCTTTATGGCGATACTTTATGTACCTGGCCCGTTATATACTCTATTTCACCTTATGATGTACCCCAGGAAATGCTACAAGCGCGAGCTCCTTGCTCTAGGGCACATCTCGGCGGCACAAGCTCTGGTGCATTAAGGGCAGCTGCAAACGCTATGAGCTTGCGCTTCTAGCCTTCGCAGCGGTACAACATAAAATACAACGAAGCCTGAGGCACTTTTGTGCCACAAAAGTCTAATCCAATCCCATCCCCGTGCTCGGCTGGAGTTGAATGCACGAGGCCGCCTAAATGTTCTTCCAGGCCAAAGCAGTTTTTTTTGCAGCGTCCTTTTTTTACAATTCCGCAACGCACAGTTATTTGTAAATGTTGTATTTCTTTGAAAAACTAATAATTCAAGACGTCTTTGAGAACCCGCGCGCGTTTCGTGCATTAAACGAAAAAAAAAAAACACGCAAAGATAAAGAAAATACTGTCAAAATCGCGCACGTTGGCGCATTTCCGACTTTCGATGGATGGCGGTAGTGAGCTTGTTTACAAACACAAACCAATGAATAACCTATATTTTATGAACAGTTTAACAAATAATTAATGTGGTCACAATTTTATTCTCTTGCTATGAACGCGATTTATATCACCATCGGCCACTGAAGAATGCTTAGTGGTAACTGCACACAATATAGCCAGATAAAGTGGCCATCTAGTGAACTGTCGTGATGACGTGTGCACCTCTCTAAAAAACAAACTATATATTTTATTGAGAGCCAATGTGGCCGCGTGTACAATCCATCTTGCGTCATTTTTGCCGCGTGTCTTATCTTTGGCCCTTTGGAACGTTTTATCGCTGCACAAAGCGTTATCTGCGGGACGAGGGCCTGCCTTCCCACTTACGTATGCAAAGACAGCCTTGAAGAAGAGACGCGCATTCAGATACGCCATCACTGCCCTCGATAAAAGAAATAACTCTATAGGATTTTAACTGGCTTGGGTACTGTTGTTGACAAAACCACAACTTAAATTGCAAAATAGTGAACCGGCTCCTGGCAGAGGTGTGTGTCCGAAAATTTGTAGGGGAACGGGACTCTTGCATCGGTTGAGGAATTCTACCACTGGAGTGCGTCGCCAAATACTTCTAGTAATTTAAGCTTTATTGATAGAGCCATGGTGTACCGTAAGGTGTTCCCTCAGAAAAAGTTAACAACTCCCGCATCGTCCTCACCTTTTACGCTGATCGCCTTCCGCGATGATTTACCAATGTATTCCAAACTTGTAAACAGCTTTTAATGAGCGGCATGATCAAACACAAACACAAACCCAATTCATTACAGCATTATGCTTTAAACATGGTTGTCACCAGTAACGTGCTTAGTAAATGACCCAGGCGTGAGACAAATTGAAAAGTAGAATTCGTCAAATATTTCTTGAATTTTTTTATATATATATATATTTACAATTGAAGATATAGTGACGTAGCTTGCTGAAGAAAAGTGCGGCATCTGACGTTTTAATTGCCCGAAGGTAGATTTGACGAGTTTCCTTATAAATCAAGACCATTTCTGTGAGTATCGATGTTCGCCAGAGTCTGTTTTATTGTAGCGAGTGAACATTTATGCAAAAAACAAAGGGTACGAACACGAAGGTGTGGACAAGGACATGCGCTTCTCCTTGTTCACTCGTATGAGCGAAGAGGACGATAAAGGATTGAGTCAGTGAAATAGAGAAGTCTCTTTCATTGTCTCACTCCTTTATCGTCCTTCTCTCTCATGAGAGATGGCGCACGAGTAGGCCTCATGAACAATATAAGACCTCATTACCCGCGTATCTGCTCCACATTTGCACAATGGAAGCCGTCGTAGAGGAGAAAGAGGTCACATCGAAAACTCAAGATCTGGACATTCCTGACGTTCACTTAGGACAATATTTCCGATCTATCTGCGAAAGGTTCAAGGACCGGACAGCACTGGTTGGTGAAACACTTTCAATTCTTCTAGGAGTGGCAGTTTTACCTGCTATCTTTTTTTTGTTGTGGAGTTAACTAAGTTTACGACCGTGGTCCCCCACACTGGATATCTATGCGGTCTCGACCACTGGTACAGTCTCTTCACTTCACTTTATTACCTTAAAGACCCCCGTTAGGGGGTATTACTAAGGGGTGGCCGTACAGATAAACAATTTAAAAAAAGTGCAACATTAATTGACTGTGATAGACTAATGGTGACACTTTCTGCGAAGCTTGATGGGTAGGCGATGGCAGCGTTGTTGTTAGTAAGGTCGTTCCCGTCTTTGGCTGCGGGATAAGAAGTGAGGCAGAAAAGGTGACTGCGTGACCTTACGCGGGCGATCTGAGGAGATGAACGGTGCGCTCGGGTACGATGTAAAGTGTGATGCCAAGCGTAGAGTAGAAGAACTTGTGAAAGAAAGAGGGACAAGAATTGCGTTGACGACAAGAAAAGTGAGCAAATATGATTTAGCTTTTAGGGACGAAACACTGGCATCGTATGAATATGAAGCTTGCATGAATCTGCTGGTGCGATTTTTAAAGTTCTCCGATGCCGTTGATAAGACACACTTGGCGTGGACTCCAGATTGCGGATGTTGCGTTTTTAAGTTCTGACAAGGTGAGATTGGCCTGGCGACTCTTTCGAGCGCTCGGCATCCAGAACGCGACCGTTACCTTTCGCCGTGTTTTCGCTGAGCGTGCATGCCAGGGGCTTACGGGACGCCGAAGCGTCGTCAAATGTAGCAAGTTTGCGCCGGAGGCTGAACCTCCTCCCTGCCCTTTTTATTCTGTCAGCGACTAGACGCAATATTTTTCGCGAAAGTGATTTTCGCGTCTCTAACAACTCTCATAGGGCTCGGCGAAACTCTTCATACATAATGTTCCCCCGGCACATGACAAGAACAAGTCACACGCGCAGGGCGTTAACCTAGCGAATATCTAGCCTGACGTTATGCCTGAGTCCTATATTCAATGTGGTCAGGGTAACCGAGCGTTTCGTTTTACGGTTTAGGTATCCCGGCAAACAGGCTATATTTCTGAGACAAAGCTCCATTGTTTTCCTTTGCAACGGACCACACTGGGGGTTGGAATTAATACATTTTTCGCGAACTCCTCGTGGAAGTTGGTGTGACAGCCGAGCCTCTCCGCAGATCGACGGGATTACAGACGAACGCTGGAGCTACGCCCAGCTTCTCGAGCTTTCGTCCCGGGTGGCAGCGGGTCTCCAGAAGCTGGGCTTCAGGCCCGGTCAACTGGCCGGCCTGCACTGCGACGCCACTCCGGACATAGTATTCGCCTTCTACGGGACCGTCCTGACTGGCGGCAGTATGGTTTTCGCCAAGTCGAGTCTTACGGAAAGTGAGTACAGTGTTTTTCGGACCCGCCGACTACACGTGTTTAAGGGGGACTCATTTTGTCGTCACTCAATGGGGCATATATCGCTAAACAAATCTGTTTCAAAAATGCACGACAGTATTGACTCTTTTTGAGGTGCATTATGAATACGCAATAAAGGGCGTACCCCTTAGACATTCCCTAAAAGTGCTGAAGATTTTTAATAAAATCCAAAATTATGACCATTTTGACTGTTTTGAGTGAATTTTGAGGCAATGAAATTAAAATTACTAAAAAAATAAAAGCGACAAAACGAGTAGTAGTACGAAGTAGAGATTTCTTCTATGTGAATATTAAGATTCTGAGGGGAAGACTAACTTACTTGGTATTTGCGAATTGGTGTAAATAACTTTTACAGGACTGTTTTCCTTAGTTTTTGTTTCATTAGGTTCAACAAGATGTTGACACCAGTACCATATTTTGTTGTTGCTGTTTTTGACGAGCCTGCAGGGACGGCAACTCGCGGCATGATTCCTATGCTTGACACCGCCGAGATCAGTTTTGACGTTTTGCCGGAGAACGATCTCTGTGAGATTTCTGTCTGCTGCACTACACGAAAAAATAGGACCAATGAGAGGCAAAGCATGTATGGCGCAGTGATGCCATGGCGATGTGTTCTTGCTCGCCGCCGCGCGACGATGGTCTGCTGATCCGATGGTCTGTGTGTTAGCCACATACATACCCAGGGTAAACTTGGATTGGGCGTCATTTAGCCACTGTTGCGTCTCCAGGTCGTGGACCTTCTTCTGACTTCTGCCTCCCACACCGTAGCTGTCAACGCGTTTATGGGCTCAGCAAGGAAGTCGAACTTCCGTTCTAGCTGGTAGAGGCGTTTTTGCCAGCGGTTCCGCAGCCCGGTCAAGTAGGAGTATTTGGACAGCCTCTTCGCCCACCGGCAGTCATCCATATTTCGAAGATATCCGTAGTAACCGATTTTACTTGTCACTTCTCTGGCTCCAGCGAAGGCCAACCCGGGTGTCTCTGAATGGCTTCGTTTGCTACAGTCCGATGGCAGCCCAGCGCGTGTCTTCAAATCTCCCTTTGACTAAGTTCTATATGAACTCGAACGTCTCCTGGAATACACTGAACAGCATTACTTAAAGTCAAACCTGGTACCACCACCGCCTCCCTGAGCTACCGGGACACAATGAATCGTTTACAACTCCACAAGCTGCATTTGTGGAGTATGCCTGCTCCTTGGATGGCTAATTGGTGGAGGTGAGCATGAAGGTCTTGCAAGTAGTCTTTCGTGTCGCATGTCAATCTGCTGTAATTGATTTAGGAGCTCAGCATGTGGTGCACTGTCGTATGCCATGCAACGTACAGAAAGCAAAATATTAGTGTTCTTTTCTTTTTTTCCGGGCCACCTCACTATATTGTGTTAGTGTAAACAGGTGCTCTTCCAATCGGTGGCCTCGTCGGAAACGTCCTTTGGAGTTCCGTGAGTAAGCCGTTTTTCTTAGCTGATGCATTCATCTGCTCCTACAGGACGTGGACGAAGTTCCGATACATCGTGCTAGTCACGGTCGGAGGTTTGTAGTTGCGCAAGTAGCGTTGGTCACGGCTTTCTTTGGGGACAAGAATGACTTTACCGCTACTACAGTCTAGACTCTAGAGGCATGGCATCACTTCCAGATGCAATGTTGTGGGAAATGTCTGCAAGGTGAACCGTGCAACCCTTCCTGAGTGCTTTAAGGACGCTCGTCGCAGTCTCGTTCAGTCTATGGGCGGCGTTGTTTTTGATATGAGCTAGTGGGTGCATAACTGACACCCGGCCGATGGTTCCACTGGTAATGTCATGTGGGGAACAACCGACGTTTTGACGAGGAAATATATCTTAAAGCGCATGGCTGTTTCAGAGGCGAAAATACCTCCTTCAAGTGTTCTGTAAGGCTCCGTACTCTGATGGTGGCGTAAACCTCGGTGTCCCGCCAGCGCTTTCTTCGTCTTCGTTCATCTGGGAACTTCGTCAGGTGTTTCCGGATGAGTCTCTTCAGTTCTTCCACATGTCTTGCTTAGACAGCAGCACCCACCCTCTTGTTGCTGTTTTGAATTCCTCAACCACCCTTTCAGCTGCCCTTGTAGAGAGTCTGGAAAGGCTTGTCGGGGGAAGGGGGCAGTTGCTCCTGCTATTTTCCCCATTGCCTTCGAGAATGCTGGTTTCATGCCGTTATGATCGCTCCCTATACTGGCTTTGCCATCTTTATCGATGTGAAATTGAACTAGATATCGAGCGAGCCAGGTTATGTGACACTAGAGCGTAGGCGATGCATGTTGGGCTTAAGCGGGCATTCCAGGTAAATTGTTCCTCACATGAGCCTCTCAGATTCACTACCTTTACGGCGAAGTTTTCAGCCGTATGTACCATTAGCCGCCAATTGTAATCCTCCAAGCTATCCAGTCCATGCAGATGTTTATTTTAATCACCCGTGATGAATATTTCTTTGACGGTGACAAGTTCTTTAGCGCCATCCATCAAACAGGTTATCGACGGCTGGTTCTCTCCTCGGCATGTAGTTCCCACAAATAGATATAGTATGCACATGGCTACAGGAATACCGGGTATCTCTCCCGTTGTCCAATTGTGATTCCATCGCTCTTGTGACTCCTTGTTTCATACAGACGTAATCAGAGTGTGTTGCGGAAAAAAAATAATAAACGCCATCTCTGAAGGAGAAGGCTAGAAATAAATCGCGGGTAAATCTCACTTAAAAGTCGACGCTCTACTTTGTGCTGACTACCTATTGGCGCAGACTACATAAAAATAATTTTTCAAAATTATTCATTATCACTTTGATATGCTAACTGCGGATATTAAGTTTAAAGGGGTACAGAAGCGAAAATTTGCCACCCATTTCATTATGTAGACGTGGTCTCCTTTATGTCAGCAGCACACAAACACCAGTTTTTCGGCCGTAAACCCCCCCCCCCCCCCAAAAAAAAAGAATAAATTTTAAAATGAATAAAATGATATCCCAATACCACCCTGCTAGTTGGGGGGCCTAGCCTCGTTACAGTGCCTCACGCCACGGGCTCACCATAGCCGCGCCACGGCGCGGCGTGTCCGATGAAGGCGCCCGTGAACGAGCGATGCTTGGCACACCTCCCAGTTCTGGTACACAATACCTCGGGTAATCTCGTTTGGTGGGAATGTAACGCATTGAAGATAACGTTGCTGCCACGTTGCGACGACGATCATAATACGGTACCCTTAGCCGTGTACGGGCCCGGGAAGTTGCGAGCATGACGTCACGGGCAAATGTCCCGAGACGCATCGCGCCGCCTCGATGGCCGATCTTGAAGCGCTCGCCGAAATCTGTCGGTTGAAACGAAAACTATAACCGTCCACTGAAAATACAAGCGCATGATTATCATTTAGGATATTATGAACCATATTTCACCCGTTTCAAAGTGTTCGGAGGATGTTTCAAGTTTCGATTTTGTATAACTTTAAGCTATTTCACGTGAAACCTTTCATAGTGGTACTTTCGCCATCAGTGGATTTGCGAGTTACATTTAACGTAGCTTCGTGCAAGTGATCAATGTAGATGAAGCATAACACTCCACTGCTTGTCGTATTCAGATAATACTTAAATAAATAAACGATTGTAAACTCGTTCAGAAAGCGGTCGTGATAACTCAGAAATAAGACATTGAACGTTCACGCCCATTTTTTTCCTAAATTAAAACGGTATAAATTATACAAATAATAAAATTTTAAAAACTCATTTTTATCCGTCTTGTTTCATTAGTCAGCATGGAGTGCTATTTGTTGGGGAGCTGGTGACCTACCATTTTTAGGAGTGAAACAAATACAATGAACATCTTGTGTTGACTATGCATCCGGTGCAGGTTGTCCAAAGACAAACTCTCTTTTCGCTCTAAAATCCGACATTGCAAACTGTACGCAACGGTACGGACAATAGTGGAGAAGATAAGAACCCTTGTTTTAAAAGCAGGCCGACAAGCCTGCAGGTTTAAGATTGCGGAGAACACATGCACTCGGTCTCAAAGTTCTATCATGGGCTCAATAAGCCAGATCTGTTTCTTGCTTGGCGAGAACTGTTCAGCAACCTCCGTCGTGTCAAAGAAAGTTTGGCGGATTCTGTCAAACTTAGTCACCGATGGCCCCTAAAACCCCTGAATGCCTCAATATTTCAAACCTTTCTGTGGCTAACAGCAATCGAGCTCAATGCGTCGCTCAAAAAAAAAAAAGAAAATTTTTTTTAAAAAAAAAAACGTAAATTAAAAAAAAAAAAAAAATTGGACAATATGCTCAGGCAATACAGCTTAGCTTTTAACCCTGCTTACCTTGCTAGTGGTGCCGCGCTTTAATAAAAAAATAGTCAGTTAAGTGATCCGTTGCGAAATTTTAATGAATAAAAGAAAGGTAACCTGTTCAACATTAAAGTTACTCAAATTGCTTAATATCAGGAAATTGTGATTACGTAATTGCACATTGGGGGCCGCTGTAAGCTGAAATTTGTATTGCCATTACCATGCTCGGGCATAACGTTTCAGTGAAACTACTTGATTCCAATTAACTACTTTTGTTTTTTCACCTAGTTTATTAACAAGGGCCATATGGCAGAAGTAGCAAAGAGTTCAAAAGGAAATATTTTCATAAATAAAGTTCAACATGCCGAAGTATGGTTAGGTCTCAAGGAAATTATTGCCGTTGTGTGCTTTGAAAACATGGCCAGACCGAAGGACCAACAATCTTGCCAATGTTTTATATATTCAGGCTGCATTTGATAGCCCCAGAGATAATTCCCGTGACGGCCCGATAGAAGGGTCGACATTCGACCGATAAGGTGTGAAGGAAATTAGTCGGTTATATTTATTTAGGCCGTTAATCGATAGGTTAATCTATTATAGCCGGATCCAGTTTGTTACCGTTTCTTTGCTTTTATTGAATACGGTTCTCGCTTTTTCGGCATACTTTATAAATTACGTGTCAAAAATCGCAGGTCACCATCTTTTTGTCTATTTGCTTTTACATGAAATATATACGAGCTATATTTTTCTTCCGGAGAAGCTCTTGGCCACCTACGATCATGTAATTAAATCAGAATGCATACTTGATATTTCTCAGTTACAAATTTCTTTGTTGATTAAATAAAATCAATGAATATTTCAGGAGAACTCACTTATCAGTTTGGAGACAGCCGCCCCAGCCTGGTCTTCTGCGATGAAGCTAATGCAGACAAGACAAAATCCGCCTGTGCAACCATCTCAAGTGTGGAGGTGAGAAAATATTAATTTAACGTCAAAAGCGCGTTAGTGAATGGGGTGGAAAAGAAATATTTCGGGTCTGGCTTCACTTGGACCTGGAGCGAATAACACGCAAAGCGGACAGTCTAGCAATTGTGTAAGTTAACCGAAACTTTTTGGGGGTTTTAGTTTCACATGCGTTTAATTTTCACACATTCCCTAATATATGTATTTACGTATTTAGTCCAAAATGCATGCACTACAAAATATCTGATGGGTCAAAAGGGCGGCAGATTGTAGGATCTAGGCGATTGTTTTTGCGCGCACTTTACAGCATCGGAAGGGCCAGCCAAGGCACTCAGTGGAGAAGAATTGGCAAATGACAAAGACTAAAACAATTTCACAAAACGTTGCTATCTGCCCTTACGCACTGAGCGCAGAGATGGCAGTAATGACATTACTGTAATGAAATTACTTCTTTAGTAATGAGTTATGTCATTCATTACTTTTAAAGGCTTGTAGTTTAGTCACGTAGTTAATTCATTTCAGGTAGGAAATTTTAGGAATTGCGCATTACTTTTGAAATTACTTTTGTTCGAGATAAAAAAAGCTAGTTTGCAAGCTTTAAGAAGAAAAAATAGAAAGAATATTTTGCATGGTGAGATAACGTGGAAGAGACATCAGAGCGAATAAACGAGGGCCATCTGAGAGCAAAGCTTTGTACTAGGAACACGTCAGACGCACAGAGACGGGCTCAAAAGGCGAAGGAGAGAAAAGCTTTGGTGTGAAGGCATTGCTGGTAGGCCACGGCTCAAGAACTCCAGAGAAGATAGATTCAGGGCGCCTCGTCTGCACGACGGTTCTCTACTTCGGTCATCCCTGAGCTGACAGTGGAGTGGGAGCTGCGAGTTTTTTTCTGTATGTGGATATAAACGAGAGCGTGGTTACGTGGCGAAGTGTAGACACGCGACTGGACCAACAACGCGTAGCTTCTTCGCACTGTCAGCTTAGGATTGACCGACTTATAGGCTACAACGCGAAGAGCACATCACCTCTTGGATCAAGGGATTTTAAAACCCGGAAGGACAGCTAGGACTTCGTTTCAGCTTAGCTCCGAGCGCAGCCAAAGGCTGGGGACGGTTCACCACTCGCAGACGAGCTTTCATAAGCATCACGAAGTAGTTCGCAAAAGTAAAATTTTATAGATACTTTTTTCGTGTGCAAACTTTGGAAAATTTTCCAGATGTTTTCTGCTAATAACTTATTGTCAAAAAAATAAATAAAATAAATTACGTTTCACGTTGTTCATAATATAGTCATGAATATCCTTCGACAAAAAACGCCTACCTGCTGGCATCGCTGATGCGACTGCGGCACGTTTTTTTTTTTTTTTTCGGGTGTTTTTTCGTGTTCTCAACGGCCGAAACATGGGCTTTAAGTTCGACGCTTTCCTCGCCAAGCTGCTGGACATCCCTTGGTTTCCTGTTTTCCTAATTTTCACCGACCACTCAAGATAAGAAGAAAGCCACGTTTAGGCATCAGGCGCGAGATCGTCATGAATGTGGATTCGTCTTCGTCAGGAGTCCCAAACCGCGTCGTACCGGGAAGTTGCTCAACAAACATCGAAGCTAACAGACGTTAGGAAATCGACGAAACGTTGATCTGCCGACGGCGGGAAACGCTCTCCAATACAAAAAAGGGTCGAAATCGGGTGTCGAGGCGGCGGTCAGAGGCAAAGCCATCCGTTGTCGGTGGAGCGCCGAGAAGACGCGTACTCCAGTGCGATCCTAGGGACGCGGTATGCTTTTGCTGTTGTTTTGCGTTCGCGGAAAGAGGGCGCTGCTTTGATTGAACTCGGAGACCGAGTGGCAGTCTACCAAGAGAGGTCGCTCAACCCGCTTTTTCCGTGGGCTACGGGCGGCACCGCGACAAAGAATACGACCGTCTGGTCACCGAACGTTACCTACCAACTTCTGTGTTCCAGCCACGGCCTTCTTCTGCCGGCAGCGCGACGGCTCTCCGCGAAGCCCAGCAGCCACCGCCCTGAACCGGAATTTTATTCCAGAACGCGAAATGGCATTTTTAATCATGTAGCAGACGATGCCGTCGATACTCCCGTAGCAGACGAAATATCTCTCTTCGAATCCTTTGCGCAGATTCCGCGCGGGGTGATATACGAAGTGTGGGCGAAGTCGCGTCCTATCGTTGGCGTTTCATTGGCCCAGGCAACCCGTAGCTTGGCCACGCTCGGAGCTAAACTGAAACGGAGTATTGGACATGCGGGTCCCTAGTCTTTTTACTCTTTCGTCAAGCAAGGTCTAACCATAAGCCTCGACCATCGTGAAGAACAAACGAACGGAATATATAGATAATCCCAAATACCTTGTCAAGACCGCAGAACTTTTCTTGCGTAGCCAAGGGCTTAACAAATATCAAGTAAATATTAATATCTCCTTGTTTTCGCTTAAGGAGTGTGGATGTCAGGGAAAGGTGCTTATAGTCGGAAAAGAGGGGAAGCGAGGAAAGCTGGTGCCGCACGCGGTATGCCTGTCTGCCTTTCTTTGGGGAGTTTAATCATAAAGACGGAAACGAGGAGATACTGCCACCCATTTGGTGAGGAAAGTAAACGTTTTAGGAAGCTCGCGCCATCCCTTTCCTCAAATGGCGACGCTTTTGCCCAAGAAGTATGCAGCCTCCTTGTGTGACTACGTGCAAGAACTGGGGTTCTTCGGGTGTCTTGGAACGATACTACTGGAGCGGATGCGCGAGTATGCGTCAAAAAGTGCTCTTGGGAGAGAAGGATTATACTGCGTCTGAGTAAGGAAGAAAATGTTTCACATTACAACTCCCGTGTAAAAACGAGTTCCTATGGCTCCACTAAAGTAACTAACACTGACTATAACGTCTTTAAAATTAGAAATACGGTATCAAATCACCCTTGAGCAAAGGACCTTCACCCTTGAATCAAAAGCGAAACCGGTGAGGCGAATGTCGTTGAGTTCAATATAAAGAAGCTGTTGATCGTGTTTAACACTTCAGTCGTGTGCGCCAGCGGAACAACTGTTCAGTCTGGTTCACTTTGAGATGCATGAAGCCTTAAAGCGGCGTTCACACTCTTGCGACCGAGTAAGACCGAGAGAGACCAGACCGGTTTTTAAGCCTTTTGCGACTTCTCAGAACCGGATGCGCTGCAGCAGAGCTGGTCCTAAGAAGTCGGAAGAGGCTTAAAAACCGGTCTCGTCTCTCTCAGTCGTACTCGGTTGCAAGAGTGTGAACGGGCCTTTAGGGCGTGAACAGGAAGATCTAAGTTCTAGTACATACAATGTAAATAAAGTAAGCACGAATTACTGCCTCGATGCATTAAAAAGTAATGTAAAATAAATTCATTACATTTTGAAAGTAATGTTAATCTGATGTCATCACTTCTAGTCTATGGTAATTTGTCATGCAATTTAATTAGATCTTTGCAATTTTTAGGAAATTAATTAGTAATGCTATTGAAATAACTTCTGAAATTAATTTTGCCATCTCTGACTGAGCGTATAAAAGTAGTCCTGCGCGGTGTGTCTCTATATTTTTCTCTCTATATTATATTTATAAGTTCGGCTGGCTGTATTATAAGTTAATATGTCCACGAGAAAGTAAAACTTAACACGTTGCTGTCATGTGAAATTGTAAATGACAACGAGAATTATATTTACCAGTATGAATTCAAGATATGCATTCATGACTAATGGCTTGCTCAAACTATTGCTGTGATGCAACGCCTTTCCTTAAACTGCTATTTCACCACAACGTTTACTGCATCTAGTTATACCGGTGCTGTTGTCGTCCAACAGATACGGCAGCTGCTCGTTACTGGTTATCCATGTCTTCTTAAGGATATGGACATCCCAACAATATGCTACATATTTTAACTAAGTTCACCGTCATTGCTACGCACGCTCATACAAATCGCAAAGAAAGGTGCCTTGTAATTTTAAGACTCCTTTTATAGGTGTAAGGTATACTATTGACCGTGAATAAAGTCACGTTTACCGTCATCGCTACCCATGCTCATAAAAACCGCCGAGAAAGGGACTTTGTAATTTAATTAATTATAATTGACTGTCTTAATAAGTATAGGTTATACTATTTTGCAGACTTTGGTCATCTTCGGTGAGCGAGAAAACATGGTATCTTTTGCGATGCTCAAGAACACTCCTCTGTGCGAGCTTCAGCCGGTGCCCAGTGGGGATCCAAAGCAGCTCTTGGCACTGATCTACTCGAGTGGCACAACTGGATTTCCAAAAGGCGTTATGCTATCCAGTAAAAATATTGTAGCAAGCGTCTGCCTTCTGTGGTGAGTGCTCACGCGTTTTAGGTCCTATATGTGCCTTAACAGCGTTATAGACCAACGAATGGAGGTACAGTACGTGCTTCATATATATATATATATATATATATATATATATATATATATATATATATATATATATATATATATATATATATATATATATATATATATAAGAAGAAAAGAACCCTTAGTGAAAACAGCAACAACGGACGATTTAATCTTCGACGTTTCGGCCGGAGTCCGGCCTTCGTCAGAAAGACGTCTTTCTGACGAAGGCCGGACTCCGGCCGAAACGTCGAAGATTAAATCGTCCGTTGTTGCTGTTTTCACTAAGGGTTCTTTTCTTCTTCTATACCCACGCCTTCGGCCCCCGCCACCATGCGCGTTGTATATATATATATATATAGTGTTTGTCATTAGAGACGACGAGTGCAGTCGGCTTTGCAGGCATGTGTTTTTTTTTAATTCGCCAACCTAATGCACTTCAGATTACAGCTGTAATTCGCTCCTGTGACGAAGTCGGAGAGAAGCAAAGGCTTCAAATATATTGTCATATGCAGGCAGCGAACATATCAATATAATGTTCCGTGAGAATTTAGAAATCAGTTTGATAATGGAGATGCACCATTACGAGATTTTGTACGCTTGTGCGTATGCGTGCGTCTGTTTATATCCTGAACAGCAGGTCTCTACACCGATGTGGTTCAAGTTGCTCTTTCAGAGCTCACTCAGGACAAAAACGGGATCGGCATAAGAATTGCGGAAGGGGGAATACAGAGACATTAGATTCCGCAGATTAGGTTCGGCCATCGGTGGATTTCTCGATATGCAACTAACAGCCTCCGTCAGATTGCGGACATCTCGGCCGGGATTCGAACTTGCCAACTGAAAACCCGCAGGCAGTCCTTTTTCGTTGGAGCTGCCGAGGCGGTTAAAACATAAAATCGAACTAAGTAATAATATTAGCAAGTTTTCTTCATCAGCCTGTCGATATTACGGATCTCCATGCGAGCTGCCTGTGTCCACTGAGGCGCCGACACCGCGTAAACTTTCATCATGGACGCTCACCCCGAGCATCAGTGAGGGCAACCAGCATTCGCTGGTCGACATGGTGACGCGTCATGCTAAATATTCCTCATGTGACTTCCTGCTTTCTCATCTTGCCGAAAGCACAGTGACCCCAGGCATCGGTCATTTGACGCGGACGACATCCTCTTGGGAACTGCACCCCTAACGCATGTGTCAGGGCTCACCGTATTCAACGCCTCGATTGCTGTTGGAGCCTGCATGGTCTTGCTTCCGGGATCCGAGCCTAGCATTACTCTTCCAGCCATCGGTAAATACAAGGTGACCACTGAAAAGTCGCTATCTTTCTGATTATAACTTCAAGCCTCCTCTTTGATGGTTTGGCAGTTTCGACAAAAAAAAAAAAAAGATACCATATAGTTTAAAACAATCTTGTTCATTTCGCCATTGAATATATCGCATTTGAAATTTGTGATAAGCCAATGAAGGTCATGAGTGAGAAGTGGCAGGTGACACAGCTATCTGCTTCGGTAGAATGGCGAACGTCGGCAATGTGACTGATTCCGCACGGAAAGAACAGTTACTTTTTTGTTATCACTTACTCGATGGCTGCTATCTCTATAGCCATACACGTATTTGACAACAACAATACAGGCCGCAATGAATACCCTTAGCTTGATGTCTATCTTTCCTACAGTTTTCCACATTTTGACATGAAAAAAAAAAAAACCTTATATCTCGTGTTGTGTGCGAAATTCCCGCTCACATATGTGCGTAATTGCCTTATACTTTTAGGCGACTGTGATTTCCCAAGTTCCGACGTGCATCCAAAAGCTGGTGAAGAGTCCCCTTTTGGAGAAGTACGACGTGAGCAGTGTTCGGGTTCTCTACTTTGGTGGCAGTTCAATGCCATCTGTAGTCGCACGCGCCGTAAGAACGAAGCTGAATATCAAGACCCTACAACAAGGTAACCCCGTATGGAAATCTTATATCTGGGCCATATCTGGCCATATCAAACATTATATGATTATATACGGCCTATATACAGCCTTATCTGGCATATATACAGACTTACCTGGCGCATATACAGCCTGATATGGCGTATATACAGACTTATCTGGCGTATATACAGACTTATCTGGCATATATACAGCCTGATATGGCGTATATACAGACTTATCTGGCGTATGTACAGACTTATCTGGCGGCCGGTTTACAATATATTAAAAAGTTAAAACAAGTAAAAAAAAATTCTTTGTTAGAAAACTCTGAATGACTTATTGTTCGCGACCTAAATATTAGCACAAATATTTCCAAACTTCAGCTTCGACAAGCTTAAGTTTAAGATTATTTGTGCTAGTTTTCGCGAGGATTTCAATGTAGCTTAATTATTTCAAAGTGTTAACATTACGCACGAATAGACAATTTGCTAAATCCCGTAAGCGCCTCGGCCCGTACTCGAGGAATCATGGGGACGCTGTTTCTTCAGCTGCCTAGTGATCGAAAATTTTGAGCAATTCTATGGTTATACAGATTTGAGTGTAATTCGGAGTCACCCTGAACACGTGTCGTACAGAACCCAAGTACCTGCCATACCACTTTTAAAATGTCCCGCCAGTGTCAGTACTGTGCATTCCGTCCAACCTTCAACCTGGGTGAGCCACAGACATATCTCTTACATTATTATCATTCTCGTACAACTTCAAAGACGCTGATATTAAGTTAGAAACGCTAAGAATGTCATAAACAGCTCCGCGGAATCCGAGCTAAATCCCGGTTTTGGTTGTTGTGATTTCTCAGCTTTTAAGTAATTCCTGCTAATACAACAATCACGAGAATGATAATATGGTAAGAGATTTCGGCGGCTCCGCCTGGTTGAAGTTTGGACATAATGCACAGTATCCTGAACACTGCCATTGACGAAAAACTTCAAAGTGATGTGATAGGTACTTGAGCCCTATGGGAGACTTGTTCACGGCGACTACGAATTACACTCGAAACTGTGTAATCATGGAATTGGTCAAAAGTAGCGATCACTAAGGAGCTGAAGGACCACCGTTTCCATAACTCCTCGAGTGCGGGCCGGGGCACTTGGGACAATTGTAGACAATAAAAAGATATAAAATTCTGATTTCAGGCTTGTGTACTTTTGAAATGCCTGGCCAGATCTGTAATTTCCTTACTTAGCCAGATCTGGGATTTCCATATCTGGCCAGGGGTATCAGGCTATATCTGGCGTTATGAGGCTATATCTGGCAGATATACCATATCAGGTTATATGTGGCCAATTTTTGATATGGCCATATCTGAAATCTTCAGATCTGGCCAGATATAAATTTTTTGTAAGGGACCACACTGTTATTTCATGAGAGTTTTGCCGTGTTTGTGGCCGTCACAAATTGTTTGCACAGCTGATCGAATGTCAAACAAAATATCATGCATGGCGTTTATTGGCTGTATTTTTTCTCGAAACTAGTTATTAAGCATGTGCGAATCACATGCTTAATTGTTTAAGCTGTGCTAATTAAGCTTGTGCGAATCAAACAAAACTATTCATGAAACAAACTATATACTAAAAATTCTTCGTAGATATACAAACGTCTTCGGGGTGTATATTCGCTAACTCTGCAAGCTCTGTCCATTAAAAACTATGTTTTAATTATGTCATGAATCTGGATAATAATTATTAACCTTACGTCTTAGCACAATTGTACACATCCATTCGTCTTGTCCTTTCTTTAAATGAAAAACGACAGTCTACAAAGAACCTGCTTGCTCATGTTTGTCGGACCGTAGGAAGTAAAGGGGGGGGGGGGTTATCGTAAAACGTACACTACTTCCTTCTTCACCTCCCCTCTCCATCCTACGTTATGAACAACACGAGGAAGCCCAATGCCATCAACTCCATCAAGTGATATCACATCTACAATGTGCTTGACGAAGTATATTAGCCATGCAATCTTTGCCTGTTACCCACTCTGGCGATCATGACATAGAATAAATTGAAACTTAGACGATTATACAAAACGTATAGTGTGGGAGTGATAAATTATGAAACGATTATGATTCACTTGGCAATTATTAATGAAAGACAGATAAAAAAAACTTGCCAATTTGTTTTTCCTCCCATGTCCTCACTAAGAATTCATTCAACCAGATTCAGTTGTCGCTTAGACGTTTATTGGCTAGACAGTTACACTTGGAAGCAAACGTGTACCGTAGAATATAGGATGTTGATATTATTTGCGTGCAAAACTAACTGATTCATGGTCACTATACCGTGTACCTTAGGCAACTACTCTATTACATCTTATTTAATTAACAAAGAAAAAGAACGCGTGTCAAGTGTTCAAACAATCACCTGTCATCGATTTACATATAGACAAATCGGATTACGTTATCACGCTTATAAATTAGGAGATGACAACTTACCATACCGGGCTGACTATTCGTCCTGAGAGACACTGCCTTCAGTCGGACGAAGGGTAGTCTAAGTATTGCGAAGGCAGTTTCCGAAAGGTTGTAAGTTAAGTTAAAACCACCCCTCCCTTTCTTCGTTTGGCGACATTAGCGTTGTTACCATCGTACGCACTTACAAACCATTTCTCTCTTCGTTCCCAGGGTACGGATTGACCGAAACTTGTGGATCAATATCACTCACCCCTTCCAGCTCCGAAGACACTGAAAGTGTAGGGACACCTCTCGCGATGACACGCATGAAAGTAAGTTGACCTCTTATTTTTTTTTTTCGATAAAAGAAAGTCACTCTTTTTGTGACGGCCTGGAGCTGAGTTGGTGGGTTTGACATGCTCCCTTGAATGCCAGCTGAACGTAGAGGAAAAGCGAAGGAGAGGGGAAAACAAAGGCACACCATCATTGTCAGTCTTTGTTTTCTCCTCTCCTCCGCTTTTCCTCTACGTTCAGCTCGTATTCAAGGAAGTAATTCTTTTTCTTTAACAGGTGGTGGACGTGAACACGGGAATAAAATTAGGACCCCGTGAGCACGGGGAGATATGCGTAAAGGGACCAACTTGCGTGAGCGGATACTTCAACAAGCCGGAAGCCTCCGGCAAGCTGTATGACTCGGAAGGATTTCTTCACTCTGGTACAGAAATTTTCGTAGTGAGTTGACTAGCTGTACACAATAAGAAATTTCTTGCGTCTAGTTTCCTACAAAGCCAGGCCTTGGAAGAAACCATTTAGATTCGTAAAAGTAAACGACGTTTCGGTCATTTTGTCCCCATGCCCACAAGTGATACTGTCTATTCCATGCCTGTGCTTCGATGCTTTGGAAATAATTTTGCAATCCGGAATGACGAACTAAACTCACAACTTCTGTCTGAGGCACAGTGTATACTGTTCAATCAAACGTTGCGTCTCCTACAGTGTCTAAAGGCAGGATTAATAGAATTGCAGGAAGAACAGGCAGGAACAATTATTTAAGTCAATGAATTAAACGGGAGCTCCGGTCAAAACGTGAAACCAAAATAAATGACTAGTATACCTTTAGTGGCACGAAATATGCCCATAGCCGAGATATTACCTCAATTCGGATAAATAAATAAATTACGACGTAATTTATTGAACCGATTTTAAAGATGCGATCAGCTACTCTTTAGTGGACGGCAAGCGGGTTAGCTTTTACTCAAGGAACACTGGCGCAGCACCCTCGTGACGTCACGTCGGGGTCGTACGGCTGATGACCAGTGTTACCGTCCCTCTAGCAGATTGTTTCGGTTTCGCTGTAGACGCCTGAAACCAAACTTTGAGCCGTGATATTGATAAAACTGCACCCAATATATAAAAAGAAAGATTATACTTGGTAATCTAGGGACACTGCTTTAGTTGAAAACAGTCGTAATCTCGAATTCAAAAATATTAACCGAAGTTGCCGTTTAAAGGAGATCCAAACAACGGCCAGGCACAGACTCTATACTCCTGTAGCTTTCAAGTTTGGGAAGCGCCTTTGGCGAGAAAAATCAAACATTTTTCAGTCGCGTTTTGTTTGCTTTCGGTTGCACGTCAATGCGCTTTATCACGTTGCTAGCCGACACTAATTTCGCAGAATCGCATTGTGGGATAAAAAAAGCTGGGAAAAACATATCTAAAACTAGAAAGCTATACTTGAAAAGTATCTCATTGTTTTGGTAGGACAGGGCGAGCTGCGTTTTTATTTTCATATTTAACCTTGTTTTGTTCTTTTAGACGCGCTGTCACCACGCGTGAATGTACCACCGCGCGTTGGTAAACGATCGTGGCTCGTGAACGATTGAACGCTGCAGGGATGCAGTGCGCTCGATGCAAGCATCGCATCCGCACCGAAAAAAAAACAGTATGCCTTTTCACGACATGCACTATGGAACTGGATATCTAACTGAAATTGTTTCTGTAAACCTGAAATCCAATTTGCACACAAAGGAATATTTCCCGGAAGCCTGAAAGCCAGACAAAATCCAGTTAGATTTCCAGTTTCATAATCCAGATAGCGAAAACTTGAGCTGTTTTCTCTCAGTAGGGATGGTCCTGCTTACGTGCGCGTTCGCACTCCCTGGCTAAGGGAAACAGGTCAATAGAGCTTTAAGGAAATATGTTGTGCCCCCAGCGTCTGCTTTGCGCATTGTGACGTTCAGATGGGCGGCACGGGAAATTATCCGAGAAGAGAAGACGTAGTTGACTTTGGTTTAACAGTTCGTGATTTCAGAACGCGATGGGGGCAGAAGGAAAACAAAACAGATTATGTGTATTACCTTTTCTGTTTCTTTTTTTTCTTGTGTTCTCATCTACTAATGATAAGAAAGAATGAATCATGCCGCTACCAAAATATACGAAGCGTTTGAGCCAGCACTAATGTACATCCGAACAGCCCCACAATTCCCTTCGTCGGGGGTTTTCCGACAGGTGTATTGAAGAAGGGCTATTGGTAGTCGAGTTCGGACATTAGCAATTAAACTAACTTCAGTTAGAAATAAGCGCCATGCGCCAGGGTGTCGAGTACCTTCAGGGTGAGGCTGAATTCACGCTCCCGTCTTTGCAAGATAGAAGGATCTTGTCATATCGACCAATTCGCAACGCGAGGAGTACACGCCCCTTTAAACGACATAGGCGTTCCCGACGCTGACTCGATTAATAGTCACGCAGTCGCTAGTCAACGTAATGCCGACGCTGTTCGTCGCGACAAATAGTAAACGTTGGTTCCAAAAAAAAAACAAAAAAAAAACGCTCACCTTGAGAAGAAACTCCAGCCCCATGTCGTTCCGACAGGAGGGCAGCTAAAGCGCGTTGGGCGCCATGTGGGAAAGATGCCTTGCTGCATGCCGAACACAGGGGAACAACACTGAGCCAGGATTTCGAAAACAACAAACTAAATGTTAGAAAGACGTGACGGCTGGTTCTACACCGAAGAAGTTGGCTTGCTACTGTCCTTGCCCGTCCTCGACTCAGAAGCCCCGTGCCACCTGAGCTGGTGATCCTTTATTGACGGGCAACGCCCGTTGTTCATCGTAGTTCGTTCACGTGGTGCATTGTGTAGCGCGCACGAGGGCGCACCCCGGTGGCTACTGAACGGTCGCGCCATCGCGGCGCCCACAACCTTCAAAACAAGGTTGGCACCCTATATGCTCGCACCAACGTCTTCCATTACGTCGCATGCACGTCGTGCACTGCTAGGTCTTTTCTGCATCTTCTATTTCACTCTTGGCCTCTAGGTCGGAGCGCCCTTTACGTTTGCCTGAAGCACGCCAGTCCTGGTTCGAGGCTAGGTCCAACACAATCTGTCCGCGCGTCCTCCCCGGCGACCAGTGGCATCACCTAAATATGTTTCGTGCGTCGTGCTTCCTAGATGGCAGCGATCGGCGCTTCTAACTGTTTCTGGGGAAAGTAGGTGCACAACGGGCTTTGTCCCAAGACCAAATGCGAAAGCCTGTTCTTAGAAACAGTTTATCTGCTGCGGGTTTGCACTTCACCTTGCATTTTAGTGCTAGGAAAATCTGTCACACAAAAACTTCGAGGGAAATATTGCATTTACAGCATTTTTTTTGTATCGGTTTTGATTTACTGTTGGGACTGACATCATCATGTCATCCAGTGGGAATATCTGCGAATATTTTATTTTCTATGCTTCCTAGTTTTTGTCGGGTTTTCATTCTATTTTTTTTCCTTGACTTGCTTAAAAAGTGAAAGCTAAGGGAGATATAGATATCTGTTTTTATGATTTTTCCCCTTTTTGCACTTTGCAATAATTTTGTTGCCGAAGAACAGTGCAATTTTTAATCGTGTGTTGTTTTTTATTGGTGTGATCGGGCCGTGAAAAGTTTTAGACTGAGGATGTTTGGAACCCCATCGTTGCGTTTTGCGTTGCTGTAGTCTGAGCTTTCTCTATTTTGTATCCATTAAAATTCGCCAGTAGCGCCATCGAAACATTTGTGCAGTGTTTCTTTTTTATACCGTGTTTATTCGTGGTCTTGCTCCTGACTCAAGTGGGAGTGCGAACATCAATACAACTGGGGCCATCTATAACGAACGTATTCAACTGCTGCTCAGTGGAATCGTCCTTGGCGGTATAACAAATAACGAGGCTGGAAGAGCAATATAGAATGCTTATAGATTGTCGGTCTGCTTATAAGCATAGAGTTGTTTTTATCATGTGTATTGTGTTCAGAAACACAAAATGTCAGCGCGCTCTTAGGCAAAATTTCCACCTTGGTCAAGCTACCACCAGCGTAAAACGTGAATCAGATAAAGACAGGAGTGAGAAAAATTGGCGCTTTACGTCAATAGTCGCTTCCGCGTGTTGGCAGATAAAATGGATGACTGAATCGGGCTCAAACACAGGAATAGTCGTGCAAAATGAAGACAAAAATTATAGACGTATGAAAGACGAGATATCCGGATGAATCTATCCCGTTAATGACCTTTGAAGTTTGCACACTGCCTGATTTGGATTTTTCGGACACTTAAGAAATGTTTGATAACTAATATCCCAGACTTTAGAAAATGCTTGGCACTGTGTGGCGACTTCTATCATCTAGCGACAAGAGAAGACACAAAGTCTTTGATTTGTTATGTCTTTGTATACCACTAGTAAAAACAATCAAGTGATCTGCACGGTTTCTGACAAAAATACCTGGCTGGGCTGTGCTTTTGTCTTATAACTATTTGAGAGAAAAAAGAGCGCGGCCTCATTGCCTCATTGCCCTCTGCACACTTGTGTTTATGTTTGATAGCGATTTTATTTTATTTCCTCAGGCGATGTCGGTTATTACACTGAAGAAGGAATGTTCTACGTCGTGGACCGCATGAAAGAGATGATCAAGTGCATGGACCAGCAGGTGGCGCCTGCTGAGCTAGAAGACCTGCTCCTCAAGCACGAAGACGTCAAGGAAGTTGCAGTGGCCGGCGTTCCTCACTCGGAGTACGGCGAAGCGGCGCGGGCGTTCGTTGTTCTCTCCAATGGCCACTCCGGGAGCGAGGCGCTCAAAACGAGGCTTTTCAAGCTCGTTGCGGGTGAGAACAATTCTGCGCAGACAAGAGCTTCCGTAGTAGAACAGTTTTATGAACTGAAATTGGATTTTCGTTTGAGAATTGAGGACTGAAATCCCGAACAAGGCGAAGCGGAGCCAGACTTGCTATTCTTTATCCAGAGTCTGAGTATCCATATATATAAATCACAAAAGAAGTGCCAGAGTGAGGCTTCCTTGCCTTGTTGTTACGTTACCACCCGAAATTTTGCGTAAATCCCCGAATAAATGCCACAGAGGCCTTACTAATCGTGATTCTGTTGTGCATCGTAGGCTGATATATGGCGCTTTGGCAGTTCTGTGACAACCAAGATAACAACGAAACACCGTCAGGCAGTAAATCCTTAAATTAGAGCATTTGTAGGTAATGACCTCGGCCCCAACTAGTTTCTTAACAAGAAACCGTATTAAGCCAAATTTAGTTCCCTTGGATTGCCAAAATTGAAGCAAGTTAGGTATGGCTATTCTTGGTTTTGTTTTTGTTTTGTTACTTTTATGTGACGGTTCGTTGCATTCTTAACAGATCAATCGGCTCCCCACAAGCATCTGCACGGAGGGCTGGAATTCGTGTCCAGCATCCCCAAGTCGGAAACTGGCAAGAACCTTCGGAGAGCCTTGAGGGACACCTTTGTAAAGAAGCACGTTCAAGGACGAATTTGACTCTTTAGTCAGCTATTTCTCTTATGTCACAAATAACATAGTCTTTGTGATATACTTATGATGGTACGCTTTTATACTTGATTGTTTTTATCAGGGTGTCGAACCGGAACCGAACCGAACCGAAAACCGGAACCGAACCGGTATTTTTCCGGAACTGAACCCTAACCCGAACCGTTATATTGTTATCGCGATGAACCCGAACCGGAACTGAACCGGAAAAAAAAATAACGGTTACCGGCTTATGTCAAAACGGTTCGGCCACGCGCTGTTGACAATGAATGTGCTATCAATGCCATTTGTTTTTTAAGTGCCGTCATATGACACACACCTCGCTTACATATTTTTCTTCTCCACTCAGTCTTAGGAATATAAACGCTGCATCCATGAATCTTGACAAACGCTGCATCCATGAATCTTGACAAACGCTGCATCCATGAATCTTGACATAGGAACCAGTATTGCGCTGGTCGCGGCTTGCACAAAAGAAAGAGAATTGGAAAGCTGTGCAAAAAAAAATCGCGTCACGGGATTTCATTTTCCTACAATCTCGTAAATCCTGAAGCTTGCTTCCATCGGAATGAGAAAAGAAAAGGCTGTGGAGTTTGATAATAATGCGTCCGGTTTCGTATAGGCACTTAGAAGCTAACATATTTGTGAGACAGCGAACTCTTCTATTTTAATATTTATCCTATTACGTCCTTCTGGCGTTGCGTTCGGAGAAGTGTTTTGCATATTCCGTATCTTGTTTAATGAAAACTTCTTTGAGGGTCTAATCTGAGTTACTGAAGGCTAGTTCAAATAAAGAAAGCTGTATTTTCTCCCCACTGTTCCTTCAATTGCTTACACGCCGAGGTGGCGGGATAGTTAGCGAGTTCTACTTGTAAGTGGGTTTGTAAGGAGGTCACGGATTTTACAGCTACTGCGTCGGACCCAATTAGATGAAGTCCGAATGCGTAAACGTCGGTGAGGTAACCTTTGAGTGCACATAAAGAAACCATTCCTGGTAGAAATCCCTGAGCCTTACACTACGATGTATCCCGTTTCGTATGTGCTGATTTCAGATGTTTTATTTGTAATTTATTTTGATGTTGCAATTTGTCATTTATAATTTCCGAACCGGTTCGCGAACCGGTTTGCGGATGGAATTAATCGAACCGGAACTGAACCGGAACAAAATAAATTTACCTGAACCTGAACCGTAACCGAACCCGTATTTTTTTCGGTTCGACACACTGGTTTTTATAATTTAAGTTTTGTAAATCGTAGCATTACTAGTTCATAATATTTGACGTCGTAAAAATCAGTAACACACGTATGCATTAAGTATTTGCTCTACATCCGCTGAGTTAATAAAAATGCATTAATCATATTTGTCTGGCCCAGGTCTATCTTACTCCTAATCAAGTGGTGTTGCAAGCATTGCGTGGTGCTACTCAGACCTACACCAAAGCATTACTCTCAAGTAAATTTTCATTGATTCGAACCACGTTCCTACACGCAATTAAATAAATATATTTTTATTCAATGTCATTCTACTTTTAAGCAAGGGATCGTTTGATTAGATAACGTCGCAAAATATCAAAAAAGCCAGTACGTAACTCAAACCACCACATCCGCAATAAATGTGCGTGGACAAAAGTGCACCGTGGAGAAGATCGGTGTAACTACATATTGCAAAACATCTTCAAAACTGTTTTTGCGGCAAACATGTAATTATATTCATACTTTAGGCACATGCAACGAACAACTACGTCAAAAGGAGGGGGAATGAATACACCGAGTAAACACAGATATTAACAAAATGTAAATCAAAGCAATTTCAGAAGTCAATCACGACGTAGAGATAATTAAACTTTTGTGTTGGTACAAACAAAACAAAAGAAGAAGTATCATAAAAGAATGCTGATATTCAACAAACGGGTTAGCCAAGAAAGATAACTTGAAGCAACAACACTGCTAAACATTTCATTGTGACAGCAGTTTGCGTCCCCCAGCGAGTGTAATTAATTTTAACATTAGATATGCATGTATATTAAAAAAAGATGGATCCTTTTATTAATACCGTTTCTAAAAATTCAGACTTCTGCAAGGGGAGCGCCTCTTTGCAACAGAGTGCTTGCATTTCTAGCCCTGCAAATCACCAGGAAAGGTATAACCAATTTATTACTCCGTCCCTCGACCTTTGCCACCTGCAGCAAAATAGCCTCTGCTTGGCTAGCTCTACCCAAGCCACTAGGGCCCATAATTCCCAAACAAATCAAAGCAAGGGACTCTGGTTGTTTAGGCATATGCAAAAGAAGACAAACAAAAGCTTGAAACGCAGTGAACGACGTCTCCCTTTACATGGAGCGCCTTTGAAGTCAGGTAATTACGCGATCTTGGCCTTCACTTATTGTGAGCACATCGTATCGGCACTTCGCATATGTAAACAAAATTCAATGAGTTTCAGCCTAGCTGTATGGGATTTACGCAACGTAGGCCCCTTCTGCAATATTCTGCCTTTCTTCAAGGTATAACATCATACTTATTACGTAATGACAGCGTCGGGCAAGCTTCCGTAAGGTCTAGCAGAATTACGTGGTACCCAATATTGCCGCTAAGCACCTTTTGCTTTAGCCCGATTAAAAAAAAAAAAAAACGACCGACTGCACAGCCTCCTGGCAGCCTCACAACGAAAATATTGCGATATAAATGGCCGTAAGGCGATGCCCTGGTACGTCAGTAACCGGGCAAAAGCTCACCAACAGAAGGTCACCAGAAAAAATCTCACCCGACAGAAGCTCACCGAAAAAAAAGCCCACCCGTTTTTTTTTTTACTGACTCCGATAAAAGCCCAGCTCTTTTTACTTTTTTGGCTTCCCGGGTGAAACACACGCTAAGTTAAAGTGCTGGACGTGATGGACGTTGCACCATTTTTAGGAGGCTGCTTCTTCTACCTCTGCCAAACCAAATTCAGAAAAAAGGTATGCCAAAAGACACCATTACACCAATGCCAAAGAGAACGTGTTGGTAGAAAAACTGCAGCGCCAACGCTTTTCCTTGATTTATATCGTAGTAACGGTTCGTCTTGTCGCTTCAGCGGTGTGGAGTTATGTTGGGCCTCCGGGAACAATTTGCTAAGAAAATAGCTAAACGAGCACCTACTGGTCTACTCATTACTAACGCATGGGTGTTCTTGAAGTTCGCATTAATATTTGAAGTGGGTGGCTAAGAAAAGAAAATTGTTTCCGTCATTCTGCGTCATAAATGTAGTTGAAATCAAAGATTATCTTACGGTGATGTCAATTTGAAACTGAAGCAAAACTGTATTATACAAACCATCGAGTTGCGAATTTATTAAAAATAGTTTGCGGTTACGGGATTTGGGCTTTTTAGACAAGTACACGAATGACAACCAATTCATAAAGCTGTGCGGGATGTTGGATGGGCTGGCGTTTCTTCCACGACAGGTTGTGCCCAGAGGACTAACATACACCAGGGAAATGTCTACCGGTGACATCGTCGACCTGCTGAACTAGTTTGATTGCACTTTTGCCAACGGCCCCTTCCGTGTTACTTCTGCTCCTCCTGCTGCGGCACCCAGAGCGAATTTTTCGATTTGATTGACTGGGCCGACGACGACCGGAGTTTTTTCCGGGACGGTGGAGTATGTACGACGCCACTCTACAAGATGAAGACCAGACGAACAACGGCTGCGAAGGATGGAATAACGTGTTCCAGAAGCTTCTTGCTCACGCCCATCCAAGTGTCTGGCGGCTTAATATATGCTTTTATCAAGGTCAGGCGCTCGTTGCCATGGTATTCACACAAGCCCGTAGACTTGAGCCCCAATGGTGACGGGTGCGAAAAACCAATCTCTGCCTGCAGAGCCGTTTGGAAAATATTTGCGAGGGGTTTCAGGTACTCTGAGAGTACAAAGACTGCTGGAGGCTGCAGGGGACTGCTTTCGGGGTTAACCGGTCGATAAATTAACTTGTTTTCTCTCTAAGCAACGAACCAGGTGCCTGTCAGATTTAATCTATCTTTGCATTTTAGTTTAGCACGTATGTCCTTAAGATGTCCGATCTCGTGTAAAAACCAACATGAAATTTTCTCCTGGGGAGAAAATTTCATGTTCGTTTTGTAAATCTGGGTGAGCTTTTGTCCGCTGAGCTTCTGACCGGTGAGCGTCTGTCCGGTGATCCTTTGTCCGGTGAGCTTTTGTCCTGGATTCGGCCCGTCTACCCGGCGTTTCGCGTTGCCACACAATTTTCGACGGTAACACGCAAGGATAACGTTAAAATTTTACTTGAGATTTAATATAATCAGCGAGTGAGCTGGTATAACAAATGCCGCTAAAAGAAATATAAAAAAAAATGCCAACAGGAATTTCTGTTCTTAATAAATAAAGTGAGCTTCTTTGTAATAGCATGCTCACGTTCTAAAGACTGGAGGTCAGTTTAAACAACGCAACTCTTAGTTTCGGCTCGATTTTCAGCAGTAACCTGTACCTCGTTTTCCCCAACACCAAAGCAGAGACATAAATACTTTTTTTTTTTTCAAGTTCTCGAGCCGCTTTGTGTTTCCGCTAAATTTTTCGCGACACCCTTTGGGGTCGCGACACAGAGTCACTAAAACACTGTCCTATAACCAAATTAAAAATGAGTCCACCAGCGCAAAGAGAAAGCTGTCAAAGGTTATGATCCATGGTTGCGAACCCGGACGTCAACTATGGTTCGTTTAAATGGTGCATTATCGATGCATCTTTACAACTTCGAATCCGAGTACTTTCACGTATAAGCCCTTTCGAAAAGCGGAAGGTTCTTCATTGGCAGCAAAACAACATCCTTTTTTTTTTTTTTTTTAGACGCACTAACCAGTGAAAACGCTCGCGTTATCTTTCGAAAAGTGCGATTGGCGCCAAAATGTCGTCAATTTTACGTCTACTGGAATTTCGTGGCGTTAAAATTCTGTTGGCCCTTAAAGGGACACTGACAGGGTATTTATGCTCGCCGAGGTTTTTAGTTGTACGTGACATATGAGAGCTCAACTACCCAGAACAGAATTTGCGGCTCGAAATTCGGTTTCT